AGATTGTGTGGCTTCTCAGGCTATTGGCAGATCTACATGTCTCACACCCAACACTGGTTCCATTATTTTGTGATAATCAGGCAGCAATCCATATTGCAGCAAATCCGGTCTTTCATGAGTGTACTAAACATATCGAGATAGATTGTCATTTTATTAGGCAGCATATCCAGTCTAAGACTCTTGTTCCACGGTCAATTTCATCACAGTTTCAATTGGCAGATATTTTCACCAAGGCTCTTGGACGGAATCGATTCCATGACTTATTGATCAAGTTGGGCATTGCAAATCTGCATGCTCCAACTTGAAGGAGAGTAATGAAGGCTATCTTAATTATTGATTCTAATTTTCCATGATTACCATTTCAATTGATATGATTTAATTGACTTGGTTATTCTAATTGATTTGATTGTAATTTTTCTTAATTATAGGCTTGATCTAGGGAATTCCCCTTTATTGCATAGATTATTTTTCCTTTTGTATTGACAATGAAACTTGTATATAAACCCCTAGTGGTTTCTCAATAAAATCATCCAAAGAGTATTCAAACTTTTCAATCTGTGTCATTAGTTTACAAATGTGAATTCCCAAATCATTGTACAAAGTGTAACCTGTGGTTTTATTCAAATCGGTTGCCTGGAAAAACAAACAATCGAGAGTATGTCCCTTTTTTCACCAACCGTTAAACCAAATGAAAATTGTGGGAAAGTTTCACATTTTGGCACTCTTTGGAAGGCTTATTAAGTTGCACTACTATCAGTATAATCATAGTTAGTAATTCCTTAGACAACAAACAGAATGAATACGTTGAAATTACTGATCATGCTTCAAATAGTGCTTTGAGATTGTAAGGCCCCGTAATGTTGGGTGTTCCGCTCCACATCAGCTCGGCAATCTGCTTATAGGCCTCCTCAGTCAAATGACCAGAGTCAAAGAACCAATATTCACTAGGATCTGCACATAATTCATACTCTGCCACAACCCTGATTCCTCCACAGCTATCAATTCCTCTGTATGGACCGCTCCCACAACATGCTAATTCTGCCTCCTTGAAACCTTGAAATATTCAATCACAAAATCTACATTAGCAACTTTCGCGTATGTCGCTTAAAGATATGATTCAAATTCCCAAGTCCTAAATAAAGAAAAAAGTAGTGTAATTAAGAAGATAGCTCGGGGCATACCATATTTTTCAGGATTATTTGTTCTTTCACTAGAAGACGTATAAATATCATGCTTTGCATATTTAAATCCTTCTAGTTTGATCGCCAGCTCCTGCAAGGCTTTAGAAAGAGCGGCATTGTGGAGTTTTGCTAGTTCCGTTGCTTCCTCAAAGCAGGAACCTGTATTCCCAGGTACGAGCACCTTCATGCCGGGGATACAACCCAATGCCGCCAAGTTGGATAATCCGAATTTCCTTCCTCCTTTCTTATATATTTCCTGAAACACCAAAATGGAATATACATTGCAATCAACTAATTGGATTTAAAAGGGAAATTTAAAGGGGGAAAACGTTTAAAAGGCTTGAAAATATATGAAACTTACTTTGATAGTATCTGTTATATTTCCAATCACCATTCCCACATATTCTTCTTTGGACAAGGATTGAAACACACTAGAGTTTGTGGTGAAAGGGGCCAAGATATCATTGGCTCCAATGTTAATTAAGTAAACAGCTTTGGAGAACAAGGTCTTGGCCTTTGCATCGCCTAGTTTCTGCCTCAACAGCTTTGTCGCATTTTTGAAATAACTCAACTGAGTTTTCAAATCTATCACCTGCAATTAATCCGCAATTGTAAAAGAAGAAGAAATCAGTGTCGAAGAAGAACGTCAAATTTGAAATAGAACAAATTTTAAGATATCCCAGCCTATATTAAGTTAATGTATTATTTAACAGACATAGGCAAGCATAAGCAAATGGTAGATATACACGTCAGAGCCAGAGTGATGAGGGAACCCATACAAATCCTTGATTAGTTTCAGCTAAAGCACCAGCTCCAGCCGAGGCAAAATTGACCCCATAAGTAAATTGATGATTTCCAGGTTTAAGATATGGTTGAATTAGTGGTAGGTTTGCATACTCGGCTGCAGGAAAACTAAAACACTCAGAACAAACAGTCATATTTCAGTACAAAATGGCAAAATGAAAATTTGTCTTACCAATGAAGTCTGGAATTAGACGCCCATCAGAAAATCTTCCAGTGGGGTATTTGAAGAAGGTTTCCCCATATGGCCAAAAGTTTGCCCGAGCAATCGTGTCGATGTAGTTATTATTTCCAGAGTCAAAGAGTGAATCCCCCAAGATGAACAAGGCGACATGGTTTTTTGGCAGACTACTACTGCATACGAGGTTGAGAGAACCTGCACAAAGAAGAAAGAAACACGAAAAGAACCTTGAACTAGCCATGTTAGAAATGGATTTCGCTTTATGTCATTATCCTCATTAGTTTGCGTGGTATTTATAGAGTTGTCTGCTGCCTACATGACGCAGAATTCAGTCCTATGAGATGCCAGAAGTTTCCCATAACATCCCAAAGTAAGGCGTGAACTTGCAAGTCAAAAAGGTTGTCCGCAAACGAATTGTTTTCCCCTTTTCCTTTTTTGAAGAATTTTATTCAATGGGGACTGCAAAGGAAATTCTGAATGGACCAAGTGGCTAGTTAATTTATTTTTTCGGTAAAATAGCGTAAGTTCTGAACTTTTCAACTAATAAAGATTGATACATTGATAGGATGGGAAATAATTTAGTTGTTCATCTGTAAATTTCATGTGTTAAGTTGGATAACTAATTATCTTAAAAGTTTAAGTTGAATGAAAATGATTTAATTATTATAATTAACTTCTGACACAGAGCCATGTAAATCATTTGAATTATTACTTAAGTTGATATCATAATAGGTTAGATGATTAATTATTTTAAATATTTTAACCAATTCCAAAGAACTCAATTATTATATTTAAATTTTAGCTCCATGGTTGATAGTTTTTGCGGCTCAATTCATTTGCAGTTTGATGATAAAATTGGTCAATGGTTTGTTGTTTGGGCATTGCCATAAAAAAAAAAACTAACTAATTAGTCTTTTATAAAATAATTAATCTTTGTTAAGGTTTTTTTTTTTTATCCCAGAAGAAAACACAACTTTATTAACAAAATATTACCAAGTATATGGTATCTTTATACGCACTACAAAACTCATAGAAAAACTCGTGGAGAGACATTTTGAGATAAGTGCCACTTTCTGTATGCCCTCTACCCCTTTTCTCGTTATGAATGTATTTGGCACACCCAGACCATCCCCGTTTAGGATATAAACCAATGACGATGGGGTCAAAGAACCCAATTTTCAGGGCACATCTCTTGGTTTGATTGAGTTGTCATCCAACGTGCAACCATATTGGCTTCCCGACAAACACAACTTATGTCCACATTTACAAATTTACAAAACTATTTCCTAATATCTGTTAGTATAGCATAGATTCTCCAATCTGCACATTTTAAATATGCCAACCTGTCCCTCCTTTTACTGCTGTCGCCATAGCTTCTAGACTTGATTTCACGAGCACCTTGTTTCTTGTTCCGCATAGCATTCTTTCATGATCATCTCTTGTTACTATTCCAACAGCCGCCTTAGGAGGATTTTTATGGAAAGAACAATCGATGTTAACTTTGACCCAACTACTTCCACGACATTAATGTCGTTAATTTGCCTGCTGTCATTGATTTTTCTTTTGCAAAAGCATCTCCTATATATCTTCTGCGCCATTACCTCTCCATATATATTCACCCACTGCTCTTTGAACTTTAATTAGCATCACGACTTTTCCCATTTGTACTAGCTTGACATCACAACTAGCTCAAATATTTCAACAAGTAAACGTCAGAGTTGTAGATACCATTCTCTTCTCGCTGCCAATCACTTGCTTCATACCTAGGACTAGTTGCAATTACTTATCACTGAAGTAACACATGTTCATAGTCTCTACTTCTTTATCCAAATTCTAGAAAACCATACCCTCAAAGGCTAATGGAGGCATGGTATATTTCATTTATCAAACATACGTATATAATAAATTTATTCTAATTCATTCTAAGTTAGTCATGTATAAGATGGACACATCTGTTGTTTCTGTGTCTATTCGGTAGATCCCCTCTTGATTCATTTTGATTTAGACTGGTTTCTCCTTTGATAGTTCTCTGTTATGTGGTTTTGTTCGTTTAGAGGCTGTTTCGTAAAGTGTTGATAGTGCTAAAGGTTCTCTCAGTTTTTGCTTTTCTCTGTACAACACAGGTCCTTAAGATAAGGGTAGAGAGCTTATTTTTGTTTCTTGCTCAACTTAGGGAAGGAACTGCTCACATTTTCGGGCAGGCAGTTCTCTTGCTTTTATGTACTTCTCTTATGCACAAGCCTCTTTATTATGCCAATAAAAGTCTTTAGCAAAGTGTTAAAGACTTTGGATGACATGAAGACTTGGTGCTAATAAAATCACATTTCAAAAAAAAAAAAATTCTTAATTTTATTATCCCTGATCGGAGAAGATGCCACAGCGCCTACCTTATACTTCAGGATTACTCAGTATTTCAGTAGCGGCAACATTAATATCCTGCTTTCCGTATCTCAATCCTTCTAGTTGGATATTCAGCTCCTATAAAACTTTAGACAGTGCTGCATTGTGCAGTATTGATAGTGCTGTGCCTAATGGGACGGAGGAACCTTCAATTCCTTATACTTTCATGGATAGCATTAAAACCAAAATCTCCAAGGCCAGAACCCAAATTTGCTTTCTCCTTTTTTGTATAGTTCCTGAAATTAACATCAACATGGAATATATATTGCAACTTATTCATGTTGGGATAAAAAGGAAGCTTAAAGGTGGTGTGAAAGAAAATCAAAGAGTTTATGAACTCAGTGACTTAACTCATTAAACAAAACATTGAGTTAATAAAAGCCAACACACGTGAGATTGGAGAAGAATTGCATGAAGCCATGCAAAGCCACACACTCATTCCTTTAAGTAAAAAATATTTTTATAAGTACAAGAGAGACAACCATAAAAAATACAAATAATGGGAAAACAACTGACACTCTTCAAGCCTAGTACTTAGTGGCCTACAAGGTAATTAGAAACTACCCTACTAAGAAACAAAACACAAACTGTAAAAACTGAATAAAATTGACACATTACAATATTAAAATAGTAACTGCATAAATTAAAAGAATCACGCCACCAAGGTACGTGAAAATGATCTTATTCATTTTGAATGTTCTCAGGCTCGACTTGCACCAAAGCTCTCTGGTTTTTCATGTTAAGTTTCATTCTTCAACACACCTCCTTGAGGCTTAACTTGAAGAATTCCCAATCTTTCTTGAAACAGCTCGAATTTGTCTTTTCCCAAGCTTTTGGTGAGAACATCTGCCAATTGATCATCAGTCCTGCAATGCTTGAGAAATATATCTCCATTTTTGACAGCATCACATATAGCGTGGTATTTCACCCATATATGCTTTGTTCTTCCATGATGAACCGGGTTTTTAGCCATTGTTATAGCTGACTGGTTGTCAACAAACAATGTAGTGGCTCCTTGTTGACTGAAACCCAAGTCTTCAAGGATTTTTCTCAATCATAAAATTTGATTTGTAGCAAATGCAGCTGATATATATTCAGCCTCGGCAGAGGATTGGGCCACTACCTCTTGCTTTTTTGAGCTCCAAGAGAACACTGCACTTCTAAACGAAACACAAAAACCACTTGTACTTTCAGAGTCCATTAGAAACTACCAATTATTAGCACTACTGTAGCATTTAATCAAATACCAATCTCCTCTTAACCTTGGTTAAATCATCAAAAACCTTAGCATTGTTTAAAAAACAAAAAATTGTATGCAAAATCACATTTTACTTGGAGCTCGATATAGTCTCTTGTGTCCGTGCTGATGCTGATTAGGGTTGGACAGCTTGGGACCGGATGCTTGTTGTGACTTTGGGGTTCTCCTCCTTTTGATCAACTTTCGTGTTCTAATTGTAAATATTAGGATCTTAGTTCTTTTTTGTCTTCTTTTCGCCCGAACCTTCTCTGTTGACAGGGGCGTTTCCTTTTCCGCCATTGCTGCCAAAGGCTTGTTGCTGCTTTTTACAACCATACAGGGGCAAAGCCCTCTCCAAAGCTTGAATCTCAAAAGAATAAAAGCTAAATATTCAAATGAAGTTTTTTTTAAAAAATTCAGATTAAGAAAATGAGTTTTTTTATTTAAGTCAAGGAAGAGCAAATGGGGAAAGCAAAATTTATAAGTAGATATTATAAATTGAAAAAACTTTAGTTTTATATATAAGAAAAGAAGTTATTGGAGATCATTAATTAAATTTATATTATCCTTAATTAATTGGGAATAGGAGAAATAATTGAGAATTAATAACATTGTGAGAATTGAGAAATGATAAAAAATGAGATTTATTAAGTAAGGGAGTGAAAATATATGTTATTTTATTAATTATTTTTATTTTTTTTAATTTTTAATGAGAAATGAGATAAATAGTTAAGAATTAATAAGAGTGTGAAAATAAGAGAAAAGAGATAATTATTAGGGATATGAGAATAGATAAATATTTTATTAATTATCCTAATTTTTTATATTTTTAATATAATTAATTATATTATTATTATCAAAATTATGAGACTTCCTCGAATTTGAAGAATGAAGTCCTTGCTTTGAAAGCTTTACCACCAGCTAGCACAGATGCAAAAAGGAGTCTTCCACTAATTTAGCACTAGATTTGTTATGACATTCAAGTTTTTGGTTAAATAAAATTCATTTTTCATAAAAAAATTAAGAAACAAACTAATGATATAAAAATACTTAAACATTCAATTCGAGAACATGATTGTTTATATCAAAATCTTAGAAGAATATTTAATTTACTTGATGATGAGTTTTATATATATATGTAGAAACAGAGTTTTAAGATATTAGACTTTTATTTTAGTGTGTATTATGTTTTGTTCAAAGTCTTTATGTATAAAAAATTAAGAAGTTCCAAAATTTAACCATTTTAAAAAAATAATAACAACATTAATCTTGACCCAGACTAAATAGTGGAAATTGACAGATGGATGGGACATTGACTCTTACTTTACGACCAACAAAGAGTTTTTATGTGCATTCTCTCTCAATGCATTTGCCATTCTTACATTTGAAGTTTGATCATTATCCATGTCATTGGTTTTCATATATGAATTTTTAAATCAATTAATTGTTAGAATTTTAAATTTCGATTTTGTAAATATCATGTTCAAATTTTGAGAGAGAGGATTTGAAATATATATTTTTTTATAATTATTACATTACAATTAATCAATTACAATATTAAATTATGTATAATTCATCAGAATATTTTATTGAGTTTATATTTATAAGTGATGGATGTTACATGATTTTTTAAT